ACCCTGTCATTCAGAGCTGGCCACACTCTTTCTACAGTTTTGTTGCCCAAATTTCAACACCAAGATACAAAAATAAGCTGGTCAAAACATCTTCTTATAGTACTTCTAGTCTATTTTTACTGATATATGTTATTTCATTATTATTATTATTATTATTAGCGACTTCATTTTTGTGGACCTGTAATAATTTCCTTCCCTATGAGACCTCTCTGTTTTACTCCAGTGACATGGTTGTTGTTATGGTAAAGGACAGTGGGCTATATCTTGTCATTATATCTAACAGGCCTTTTTCACAGCACACATTGGGATCTTGCCAGCACAGGTGTTACTAATAGCACTAATGATGGTTCTGTGCTATTCAAGTGAGAGTGACAGGCAACATGCACAATACCTGAAACCTGACATCAAAGCAGCTAAATGTGCTTTTTCATGCACTGATACCTTTTTATAATTTTGAGCTATTTTACGATGTCTGCTCTCAGACGAGTGGAAAAGCGTCCAAAGTACACATTTAGGTGTTTATTTTACAAAATACATTTGAAAAACTCAACTCAATGTGAGGAAAGATGTTTTCCTGTCTTCATGATGCAATAAAAACACTACACACTGCCTTATGAAATACAAATGTATTGCTTTCCGCATACGCCATTGCCATCTCCCTGGTCTCCCACATTTTCTTAAATTGCCGTTTTAACGGCATCAGCGTGAGGTGAAGGTCACTCAGCTCTTTGATCCCCATCCTGTCTTCTTGTAATGACAGTGGTTTAAAACTTGAGCACGTCTCCGCCTCAAGCGAACCTCTAATGAAGGAGCTATTTCTGCTTTTTCCCCTCAATTGCACTAACAGCCTGGAGAGTCAATTGTTAGTCTCTGTTTCTCCTTTTAATCCTTCATGTTCACTTGTGTTGGTAGCAAGACATATGTGCTATGGGGCGTCAGACGACTTCAGTTGGTCGGTTTGCATCTTTGTCCTCACGCGATGCTGTGTGTACTGCAGTCTTTGCTCACTTCATCACTGTTTCATTCATGTTTTTGTATTTTCAAGTACCGTGGACTCTGTAAACTAAAAACAATTACACCCTACAATGGTATTAAAACTCATGGTGTAATAGACGGAAGACAGATCCTGGATCTCACATTCACATACAGTTGGAACTATTTCACAAGGAATGAGTCTGGGAACATGACAAACCGCGCACCAGGTGAGACTTCTGCAATGTTTCCGCCACACTTGTTCTAGTTACTGTCTTTCTACAGTGTGAAGCAGCTTGGAAAAGTCGGCGGGTGTCAGCAGAGAGAAGGTGAGAGATTCACAGTGGAGATGTGATACTTCTCATGATGGATTTTTCTGCAAGCAGAAGAACGATCATGTCTCCTTTTCCTACCCCGACCTCTATTTGTGATGGATCACAGTTCTTGTTGAATGTTCAAACTCCCTGGTGTGAGTCGTGTTTCCTGACAGATTGTTGTGTTAAAGCCACAGAGTAATCAAATGTGATTGTGGTTGTCACCGCAACATAAACCAATTGTGTTCTAATTTTATAATGAGACGCTGCCAAGATACGCCTGTTTAAGACTTGATTTATAATAGAAATCATTCTTTGATTGAAGCCTTTACATGTTTATTGTGTTTACACCCATCGCCCCTTCATGGATGGTCCGCCTAAAGTGGAATGGACTATTTTTGATTCCTTGGGATGAAGTAGAACATAAAGTTTTCAAAGATTTATTACATTGTTGACCTGTCACCACAGCTTTCTGCTGTACATTCTGCCGTGCTTGATAACTGGATTCTACTCTGGATTGATCTTTTTTTGAAAACGAACACAATGGCCAAAAAGATGACAGTTTGTTTTTGTTGTTGATTCATGTACTATATGTTTTACTCATGTCAATTTGAATAGTACTGGCAGTCCATAAAAGTTGTACATAGTGTTCGCATTCTATGGGCAGAAGTGTGTAATTATCTAAGGATTTAATAATATAAATTAACACACTGTGATATCATTGTATCTATAAACAGATTTGAATTTAAACATTGATTACATAACTCAAAATGTGTTTCAGAGGAATTCTAAGGTTTATAAACGTAATTAACACCAACAAATTCTTACGAGCTGTAAGCATCATCCCTCCTATCAGTTCTAGAATAATATTTAGAGTGATAGTTCAATTCAGTGTAACATTTATAGTTCTGAAATCTGAAAGCATTACAAATGTATTCTTTTGACTTGAATTGAAAGCTGACTTTGTTCTTCATGAGTACATTTCAAAACAAGAGGCCGCTGCGATTCCTAATGCACAGTCACATTTAAAAAAAAGTAGATGGTCTTAACAAAGCTGCTTTTAAAACCCCTAAACAGGCTGACATTTTGAAGCTTCACATCCACTGGTGGCTATATTTCTCAGTCTAAATTTACCCTGCGTGTTGTACAAAGTCTGTCCTCTGTGAGTTTAAGTGGCAAAGAGCAAATGGAAATTCCAGTGCTTGCTAGAATGGCTCCCCTTTTCCTGCCCACGCCCCGCTGTTTCCTGCACGCTGCACGACTAGGTGTGTTGACATTGAGATTGGAGGCGTCTGACTTCGGGGTACGTATTGGTCTGACTGTGGGAAAGGGTGTTGGTTTCTCCTGGTCCTCCACCGACCAAACAGCAATTCCTCCTCTGGCTCCTATGTAATCTAGCCCTCTTCAAACTGAGGGCACGTTGGATACAATGACCCATTTAAAATAGAGGCTCTGCCTAATTAAAGGCCTCACAGTCAACATCTCCAGTCTTCTTTTGTCACAAAAGCAGTGTGTACTTACTCTTTGTGTTTGCGCAGCCCTGTCATGGACAAGTCCATTAGTGCTATTAGCTGCCATGTTGGGCGACTGCCCTTTCTAATGAACGTCAGCACACAGAGGGCCTTTAGTTGTGGACTTCCTCGCTTCCTGTGAAGGTAAATATTATGTTTTTTTTTCTCTACTGCATCCATAGCACGGATGTGTCGTGTCTGGGATGTGTCAGTGTGTCTGTAAACCACTCTGGAGACAGCGAGATTACTTTACAAACTGAGCCTCACAGAGGCCTGCCTGACTGCCCCCGAACAATACAGCAGTTCATTCGCGGACTGACTCCGGCCGTCTCTCCCTGTGGTGAAAATCAAGTCTTTGTAAGCCTCTGCGAAGATGAGGAGATGAGGAAAAATGGTATCCAGTTCTCAAAAAGTGGTGCGCATTTCAAAATAAAGTAGTGTATGTATAACCTTTGACCTGACTCATCCTTGGGTATCTTCACTGAACAAGTGTATAAAGTCAGCTCTGACAACAAAAGATGACTTGGTTCCACTTTTACAACAAGATGCACAACATACTAGCTAGTTATTTACAAGAGTCAACATTGTGGTTTCAGCCAAATTGGACAATTAGCGTGAATTAATCCACAAATTACAAGAATCTGCTGTGTCAAACCGTTCTCCAAAGTAAATATTGTCATAGATTTAAATGCTTGATGTGAATGTGACACTAGTTTGCCTGTCGAAGGCCCCAACTGACAACGTTAAAAACTACTGCTCGTTAATAAAAAACAGACTCGGAGACACTCGGAGAATGACATGTTAGTTTATGATTAGATCATTTGCGAATCAACATACTGACTTTCTTTGCGAGTCGCTCCTGTTTAACTCTGAACCAGCTGCTGCAGTTTATATGCCTTCTCGAGAAAAGTGGTGCATCAATCTGAGGAGTTACCAAGTATTCCCTCAATACTTAAGGTATCAGCAAAACGAATTCTACAGAATATGACACATGAACGTGAACATTAACGAACACATGCTCTGAAAATGATCCATGAGGTGAGAATCCAGCTGTACCTGGTTTGTAGTGAAGGAACTTACATGAAGGCATAGCACAGATATGCACAGCATGTGGTGCATAATAGCATACAGCTAAATCTAAAGCCTGGTTATGTAACACTTACTGTTTTTTAATGGTTGTTGATTCATTAGGATGGTATGAATGCTGGACAGAGTGAGAAAGAACAGAGACAACGCGGTGGTTTGAAGTGATTAAATAGGTTTATTTGATTTACAGACATGTACATTTTCTATCAACCCCCCCGAGGGAGCGTCACAGTTCAGTTCTCGAACAATATTCCTTTGATTTCTCGACACTTCCCTTGTATTGACACGCTCTAAAAATAAAAAATAACCTCTGTTTTCTGCTCAACATCAGAAATAGGTTTCTTTATACAGGATTCTTGTATGACAAGAAGTAGCACATTTCTGAGCACATCACTTCAGTGATTAACAACGTAGAAGTACTCGATACAACGGACCTATACTCCTAAAGGATTGGTGCTAAATCAACTAAATTTGGCAAAGTGAAACTTAATTCGTGACCCATCTGACCAGAGCCAACATCCCTTCTCATGTCAGGTGACAACATGTCAGCACTTACTGCGCCGTGAGCGTGAGCGTGACGTGACAGACCTCTGAGGCGGAGGCCGTGGAGTCGATGCAGGGCTGTGGTTCAAATCAATCCCTGAACATTAAGTGTGCAAAATGGTTTGATCAGTTGTTCTTAAAATCAAAAAAAAAAAAAAATAAAACACATTTACAAGAGCTACAATATGAATGCAAAATGTGTTGCACCCTAAACATTAGACCGGTAAAATCCATCACATCGCAGTTCCTTTAGTGTGTGTGTAATATGTGTGAGATGCCCAGTTCATGATCACAGTAAACGGGATGAATCTCAGTGATATAAGAAGGTATCGTGTAGTTTCATCGTGATACAAAAGGATGAACAAACAGGCATTTCTAAACCCAACAACATACAACAACATGTAGCATACTCCAACCTTAAACTTCCCTTTATAGATTATTCTTCATTATGGTAACAAACAAATAAATACATTGCATCCAAGCCATCATTTACAATATATTAAAGTTGCTGCGGGATATAGCTTTATGTATATATATATATATATATATATATATATATATATATATATCTCTATTGTAGTTATTCAAATTTAAAACTCATTTGGTAACTTTAAGAAAAACAAAATCAATAAAAGGAAGGTAAGAAGCTTCGTCAATTAAGAAGATGTAGGTGTGTAAACGCATCACATTCAGAGAGCTCCACGCAGTTGGAGAGAAGCTAAAGCTAATGATCTGGCAGCAAGGACGCCGCCCACACGGCACCCCGCACACAGCCGGTGAGTCATGCTCGCACATCAATGCTACGAGAACCACCTCGACGTTTCCCGGCGTTCCTCCGCTAAGGTCATTCCATCCTCCTCTGCTTTCTCGGAGGTCTGAAAAGTGCCTTTTTTCCCCTTTATGCATTCGTTTTCAAACCTACGACGCCATTAGCGTCTTCAAGGTTTCAGTAAAAGTGTATCCACCAGGTAATATACAACAGAAAGGATCATTCAGGGGAGCTTCTAATGGCGCTTTTACCTCAATCTTTACAAGCAACTAGCGATAGCGGATATCTTTGTGGGGTTTTGCATTAAAGATGCATGATTACAAATACGAATTAAAGCATATGAGGGAATCAAATCCATTTCACCCCCTTTTGTGTACTTCTATGTCTTGTGGTGCAGGTACTGAAGGAGACCCCAGCAAGAGACATCTGAGGACTTGCTGGTCTGGTTTTAAAGGGGGGGGGGGACTCTTCTCTTATCTGTTATCAGCGATAAGCGCTCGCCAGTCTAACCTGGGGTAGAAGGATTTCCTGTTCCTGTCTGGAATTTTGATTTCCCTCAGTAATGGAGTGATGACCGCGACCCCTGCTCTCCTCAAAGGTCCGTTCTCCTAATCGTGGAATGGGATATCTACAATTGCAAGGGAGAGAGGCCTCTTTCCACAATACCTTGTATTGTAACCAGCATGGACTGGACGTGGAATCCGTTAAAAGCGTCTCTGTCTGTGTGTGTGTGTGTTGTGTCCGGAAATTCAAAACCAACCATCAGAGAGCTAATCCCTCTGAAGAGAAACCTCGCTCACCGATAAGGCAGCGTGGATGAGTAAGGTTGGTTCTTTGTATTGCTTCTCGTGTACACACAAAACATAGGTGCTACTCCTTAAATGTCAAAAGAGAAGCCGTCCATTTACATTTGGGAAAAAGCATGTACATTATAAATTATAACAACATATAGTCCAGTGTCTGCTTTAAATCGCCCGCATTGCATCATTGTCCTTCTGAAACAATCATAGGCAGTGACCTCCAGTTTCAAATCCAACATCACGCAAGAAGAAAAGAAAAATCACAAGAAAGTTAATGAAAAATAATGTGTAGAAATCTCTCATCTCTGTCATGTTCTCTGGCACTGTCTACGCCGATGTAAGTGCTAAAAGCTAAAAATAAAAAAACATATCTGGGGGTCAAAGGAAACAGCTGTTTGATGGGAAAGCTCCAATTTTTAAGGCTGATTCACTGACGGTAACACTTTTTGGCTTTGACAGCTATGTTTACATGCACAGCTGAACTTTGAATGATTGTGAGAATACTGCATTCATCATGTAAACACTGTGTTTAAGTGTGATGTTAATACTCAGGTTAACATGTGCAGAGTGATCAGATTTTAGTCTTTGAGAATTATATTCCTGCAGCAAACAAAATGAGCCGCATCACTCGCTCCACATAACTTGAATTTTACAGCTTCTGTCTGTTTACAGGCTCCAAGTGTTGAAAAGCCAGGGCAGAATGAATTGTGGGTAATTTGCATGGGAGCAACAGAGACAGCAATGGAGCTTTATGACTGCAGTTTACACATCATGCTGATGCTTCTCCTGTCAGGCAATTACAAACATAATCAAACTTATTTCATTGCCAGCGGCTGAAATCATGGTGTGCATGTAAACATAGTCAGTGATCAGAAGTTATGAGGGTTGTTGTTGGTGGTCAGTGCAAAGTCGGAAGGAATGTAATGACGCTATGGCACTTGGTGCAGATTGACAGCTGATGTAACAGACAGACAGACAAGCAGACAGACAGGGCAGGTTCATGGTCAGCATTCAGTAGTATGGCATCAGGAGTCGGAGGGGGGGTCACGGGGGATTGTGCCGTCCCCACGTCCTCCCTGGAAGGTTCAGTGGATCCTCGCAGACAGAGGCGAGGAGGACACCAGCTGTCGGCCGGCCGGCATCAGCTCACGGCTGTGCTCTTTCTCACAGACCTGTGATTTAGAAGCGTTTCAAGGAGGGGCAAGACGCTCCCTCGCTTCAGTTCTGAGCAGCCTCCGTGAGTGTGTAGAGAGGAAGAGCAGCAGGAGCCAAGAGGAGGAGGAGGAGGAGGAGGAGGAGGAGGATCGTGGCAGGGACGGCGATGAAGAGAACGTGGACGTGGCTAAAGGAGTGGAGCAGCTGGCCTCGCTTTTTTATCTCCAATTTGTCATCCTTATAGAGTTTGGCTGCTCCTTCAGGTGGGTCCTCATGTTGTTGTCACCTGCAAGAGAGAAAGAAAGAGAGGGAGAGAGAGAGAGAGGGGGAGGATATAGTGCGGTTAGAGTCTGGCCTCACCACAGGACACTCTCATGTAATTAATGCTGAGGTCAAAAACTCCTGGGCCATCTGTTAGGACCTTCCTGATAACGCCTGCACACCAGGACCAGCCTGTGACCTAAATATTTCCTGAACACAGCATACCAACACATAACAGTTTGTTTAATGCAGACCCCCCCCCCACAGATGCTGTCTCTCCTGATTGGGGCTTTACATTAGATATCGATGTGATTATGCCTCTGTGTCGATATCAAATGTACAGTATATTATGTTACTAAACATATACAGAAATATTATTGACGGAAAGGGATTGCTGATGTAAAAAAGGCTTTCATTGCATTGCATAAAATATGTTAAAAACCATATTTGACTGACCAATTTAGGGAGACTTTTACTGAGAGTAAAATATCTCTATCTAATCTATTAATGTAAAAGTGATATTGTTGCAGTATGCCAGTGAGATCTTTTACTCAATTAAAAGTAGAAATACAGCAATGTAAAAATACAAAAGTACAGACGTGTGTTATGTGTTGATGATATGTTTTAAATGTAAAATATTTATAATTAATAATAGAAAATTAAAAGTACAATATTTCCAACAGGATTGTACATTTTTGCCTCTGTTCACTTGCATTGTGCTCATTTGCAGTATCATCGTCACAAGGTCTCTCAAGGTATTTACTTGTGGAAGAACACAAATCTTGTATCATGGACTAAATAAATACAAACATGACTTGTTAATGACAATTAATTGCTCAAATACACAAAAACAAAGCTCATATCAGGGAAAATGTGATGCCTGAGGGGAAAACTACCCTCCATTTGGAGATTAGACTGTTAAACGCTTGTGATTTCTTCAGATTGCATAAGAGAGATGGCTCTGCGTCTTGTTGTTTGTTTGCGTCATTAAGGTGCTCTGGATGCTCCAGAACACACAAGCTACTACTGCTGCTACAATAGGATTAGTGCAGGGAGCTCGGCGGCGCGATGTTCCGAGCTACTGTCTCGCATTGCCCAGACACAAACCCAGTGACCCACAGTGTGCATACATATACGTATATACTCATATACTAGTGCACATATACAGTACGTGCAGACACACATCATATAAACACGGGTGCTGGCTTAATCAGGAGGATGAGAGGATTGTTGTTTTGGTTCTGAAGATGCAGATCCACTCCTCTCCGGGATGAACCGTTTTCCTCAATTATTAGTGTCAGTTGTTCCCGTAAACTGTGAATTGTTCGTGAGCCAAATTCAAAATGAGGTTGCTCAAATGCCAGACAGAGAGATAATTAAAGCTGCGAATGCTTTGATATGTGCAACATTGGCCCGCCTCCTTGCAGATTACTGTGCTGGGGACTGTTGGCTTCTCAAGCAAAGGGGGAGGTCTGATTGGTCTGGCAAGCGGGTAAACTTGTGGTGGGTTTTGGCTGGGATGATGCAAGTCACGTGGGATCTGATTGGCTTCTCATTTGAGGACGGATGGAGAGAGCGGCGAATGGTTTGGTACACGAGACAAAAGATACTTTACTGTAACGAGAGCGCCGGTTGAGTTCTCTCTTTTCATGTATTCATTGTATTATGAAAGAGGAAGAAAGCTAAACAGGTCACATCAGAGCCTGCTGTACACTGTGTGTGTGTGTATGTGTGTGTGTGTGTGTGTGGGGGGGTCTGTGGTCACTGCCCTCCCCGGCACCATGAACCCATTCTGCTGACTGAGGACTCAGAGCTTTTGTTGAACGATAAGAGTGCGAAGACGGAAAGTATGCGCCTGCAGCTGTGTAAACACTTTTAACAGTTAAAGTTTGGAGAGCGGTGACTAAATCAGAGTTTGGCCTCGCGATGTGAGTTTCCTCCCCCAGTAATAAGGGATTGTGGTTACTGAATAAATGAGTGTGAAGCCCCGCTGTCAGATCTCACGCCGATGTTTCGACAGCCCCCCAGCTCGGGGATGTCCTCTAGTTATCACGCGCCATGGGGTGAATCTGGTCAGCAGGGGCCGGTTCCTCCTGCAGAGGAAGTTAATTGGATCTCAGTGTATGTGATCTCCATCTGGGAATGCATCACCGGAGATTAATATCTCGCGATGTACAACAGCCTAGGCGATCACTGCTCCTCTTCATCCTCATTTTGTTCAGCGGCCGTGTGTCATTCCTCTCCTCCTCTCAATTCATCTCCTTCACTTCCACTCCTTGTCAGAGCCGAGCACTTGTGCTGTAATCTGAATAATACCAACGCTTTACATCGGCACCTCCCCACGTTTCTGTCTTAACTGTTTCCCAGAGCAGCGTGTTGTACCACTGGGAACACAATGGTCAGAGCGAGCGTGAAGACTGAACACTTGTCACCAGAGAGCGGATGAACTGTGAACTGTATTGATCTGCGAGTGAAACCCGAGGGAGGAAATAGTGCCTGACACTGATTGGATTATCCTTCACAACAGATTTGTTGGAAATCAATCACCACGGTGCACCGCGGTGGTTCACTTTAAAATTGAAATGATCAGTTCGCAGGTAAATCCAACTCTGACCTCATGCAGCTGCAGTCACTGTTCTCTATAATTAGCCCCTTTTGACAGCAGGGAGAAAATGCTTTAGCTGCTGTGTGTGACAGACGGAGGACGGATGAAACCCTCAGGCTGAGAGCATGAGCGTCCACTGAAACCTGATAGCCATGCGGGAGCCTTTCATGTCACCTGTCATTAAGTGTGCATACTAATGCTACTCTGTCAATGGTAATGACTTGCGGTAAAAGACCATACAGCTGTAGTTTTGCATATTGTAGCCGAATAACTTTCCGGCTTTATTTAGATTGATTTCCTGCCTTCAAGACAGCCATTGCCTCCCATTCATCAATGCACATTGCCATTCGTGGAGCTTTCAAAGTGTCTTGTGATGGGTAATCTATCACACTGGTAATATTTTTTGGGGCGTATGTTATGTGGTGATGCAGCTGCAAGCACAAACAGCCTCAAGAGCAGTCTCACTGTTGGCACATTCAAGGACACGCTGCAGATTTGAAATGTGTCCGACTGCAGATAAGTAACTAAAATGAATACAACACATTGAATTCAATTCACATGATCCTTCTCACAACATCCATGTTTGCATTCCCAGCAACATGTCTCCTGAGTTAACGTCTACATTCTGAATTATTACCCACAGAGTAGTTTTTAGTCTTTGCATTTCATCGTCAAATTCTGTGTCGTAATACAATACAGCACTGCATGACGAGACAAATAAAGCCGAACCTTGAACCTTGAATGCAATGCTTTTCATCGGGCCGATGCTCAAATGTCAGATGTCAGGGTGCCTTTGGATGCACAAAGGAGAAATCTTTTTTTACAATGGACATAACTGACTTATGACGGACCACCAGGATGCCCCTGGTGAGTAGATTAAAAATAAAACGAAAAGATATTGCTATAAAACTTTCCCAGTTGATTATTTACATTAAGACAATCATCTTTTGTATTATATGTTTTCCAAGTTTAAATATGCAAATGAGGCATTCTTTAATGCTAACTTTTGGTGAATTTAGGAGAAATCTACAGACGCAAACAGACAAAAAAAATTGTATTTTGGATGTTATGGAAGCAAAATACCCCAAAACCTCCAAATTTGACCAGTACATGAAAAACAATGTTTTTGCCTGTAGTGTCTCCCTTCAAGTGAAATGAATGGAAACTAACGGTTGTCTGAATGGTTTAAAAAATAATCTAAATATGTAAACGAGGGTTTAACAAAATAGTCATCAATGATGTGTGTTCTTGTAGTTCATGGGATCATCCCGTCTTCCGCCTGCAGGAATTTGCACCTTTGTACAGTTTTCCCACCAAATCGACTGTTGCCTTCAAATACTGCAAGGAGTTGCAACTGGCAGATCACACTGCTGCTTCCCAAACTGAACTGGAACCATTTTGTAAGAAACCCTTCACACCTCGACTCCCTGCTTCTCACAAGCTGGTGCAATATCATCATGAAAAAACCTCATCAGAGCTCTTCTCAGCGAGTTTATGATCACATTCTGGTTGACATATTTTAATCCTTGCAAACCAAGAAATAAACTAATGATCTTTTTTCAGGAAAGATTCTGAATAAATATAAAAGGAAGAGATTTATTGTCATACAGTCATTACTCTTTTTCTGACCTTCTCCATCTCACCCTGCACAGGGAGCATTATTGGGAGGTGGGGATAATAAACCCAGCAGTATACACATTCATGACCTATTTTCTTTGCTCTTGGAGTACATATAGTATGAATGTTTAGAGGACAAATAAACCCAGATAAGGTTACAAAGAAACGATTAGAAAGGGGTTAAACCTTGACCTTTTGGCTAAACATGATACCCTTTACAAATAAGTCACAACAGATTCCTTGTCCTTCTAATCAGTGAGTCAGAGTTTAATCTTGTTATTCTTTACCGACAACTACAGTAGGTCCCCACTGTCCCGCAGTGCAGAGTTGGCTGGTGTGCTGCCAGTTATTGTGTCTTTTCTTTGCTCCGTTAATAATTAGACGGGTTTTGCACCGCGTGTGTGAGTCTGATAAAGACAGGAAGGAGGGAAGGCAGCTCAGGTCTTAATAAGAGGCCAGATAGTCAGTCAAATAACCAGCACTCCAAGAATGCCTGGACACTCCTTGAGTACAATGGGAAATGATTCATCGATCAATCATATGTGTATCATCACCACGTGTCCCCTCCAGCATTTACACTGTCATTAAGCTTTGAACAGCCTCGGGTCAAAGTGCCTTTTAAGTCCTGAGAAATCTTGTTTTTCTGTTCGTCCTAATGAAAAGAGTCTCTCCATGATGCTTCCCAGGTAATGAGAAGAGAGCCCTGTAAATATTGATGTTCCGAGACCGTCTCTTTGTTTGCAGCCACTTAAACCGCTGAGGTGAAAAGCACTAAAGTGTAAAAGCGTCTTTAGGAGAAAAGGCAATTTACCTGGTCATACCTTGACTGAGGAGGGTGGTCGTGTCATCTGGCTCAACCTGAGGAGAGAGGAAAGGCTTTAGGAATCAAGGATGCACAAACACTTTCAGACAGACCTTCTCAAACCACATTCAACGCCTGTTATTTTAACCCCAACCATCTCACGTCTCCCAATAATTTCTCCCAGTTTCGCTCATCACATGCTAACTGTCTTCCTTGGTCTGTCAGTCATCGCGTTCCTCCAGGCTGCAGTGCTCAGCCTGCCTTTGACCCACACTGACTCTGTATTGTCAAGGCGTACTGGCACGGCAGAGGAGACAGTCCTGTTCGCACACATCACGAAGTGTAAATGTGGACTGGGTGAATGCGTGGAGGAGGGGGACACATTGAACCAGAGCTATTAATGGCAACCCCGCAGCCCAAAAAAAAAGCTAACAACCTAGAAATAATAAAGCACTCTTTAAGGCTGAAAATAGAAAGGCGGGCTCCAGTGAGTTACTCGTTCGGCTCCGCGCCTTTTATAAATAGCGCTGAGTATCTGAGGACAGACTCAAAGGAGGGGAAAAAAAGCCGCAAAACGCTCTGTAAAGACGGGGGGGGGGGGGGGGTTTTATAAATCGGGGGCTTTATAGCGTGAATGGAATCTATAAATATCACAGTCATGAAACAACTCTAGTTGTACAAAGTTGTGGATGTTGTCATCTTTCTTGGTCCCTGAGGTGCTGTTCGCAGCTTGTTACGTAAGAACTGCTGCTGTTTGAGTTTTTTCTCCATTGGGAGGCTTAGTACAAATCTGTACCATTCAGGCCTTTAGTTTACCATGTGAGTTATGCGATGGTATGTCTGCTGAACACCTTTATACACCTTGATGTAATCTGACAAGCTGGTGCATGATTAACCCATCTATAGGAAGGGCAAGCAAGCAAAGCTGGAAATGAACAAGGACTCTTCTGATAGGGCATATGTACACTTGCTACACTAGTACCACTAGTGGTACCACTTTCTGATAAGGCAGATTATTACCATTTATAACTGCAGACTTTCTTTATATTACCGTGTATCAATGACCATGCTGCTGACTTGTTTGCTCATTAGACACACTCTTGACCCTTTATGAATGTGCTCAATATGGAATTCAGAGAGCAAGACAGCGAGACTAACATGCACTAAAATGCATGCGCAGCTGGACTGCCTATGTAAACAAAGCACAGAGAAGCCCACCAGATCTTTACATAGCTAATAGTTGTTTGCTGCTATGTTAATGTCATATATTTCAAACTTAGCGCCTTTAAAGCCAGACAAGCTTAGAGCCAGACAGGTTTTCTGATCTGAAAGGCATTTGTAAATGAATTATTAGTGATCAATAAAGCTGTTAGTTAAAACTCATAAAACCTTTGTAGAGGGGGACTTTTTAGAAAGTGGTGCCAAAAGTTTAGATACTCTATTTCGTAAAAATCTGAAACAATTCAAAAGCCAGCCTTCACCCATCTATGTTAAGGATTGTATTCATGAAAAAGTACAGGTACAACCGTCCAATGCCTCCAAGTGTCTCTGTGTTGTGTCGGGGAATTTTTCACTCCATCTGTTGCTCTATTAGCTTTGCCCTACAGCGCCTTGTGTGACAGTCAAGGGGTTGCGGTCAGATATAGTTTGAGTGAGCATGCGCCATCTGCCCACACTGCAATAATGTGGTGAGATAGCTTAAACCACATACTGGACCACAAACTACCATCTATTACAGGCACAACGGACGGCAAGAGTGTGACTTTTCTTTTAGTCACTGTTCCGCATTTCTTCCCTTTTTTTTACCCTGGATCAGGCCCAACAGAAGCCACAGCACGGCTTAGTGGTGCCTTTGCAGAGACCCCTTTAAAACTATCAACATTACGAAATATTAATGTTAATGTTAAGGTTGTGTTTTTCTTAGATGGTTGCTTGACCCTAGGATTATAAAATGCAGTAAGTCCACTGAAACTTGAAGCTCAGTTTCCACATTTCTTTCGCACATTTCCACTTGTCCTCTACAGTACATATGATTACAAATAGGCTTATTCTGCTTAAGTTGTCCAAAAATCTTATTTCTACAAGGGGCTTTGGCGTGGGAACAACAAGCGATCAACTCCACAGGGTGAAGACAAGGCGGCTGCAAACGGACATCAGACTGCCATCCTGTCTAAAAATGTCCCTCATCTTCAACAGGAAGGAAGTCATTTCTGAGAGCGCTGGCACCAGGGGAGTAAGTCAATGTGATTAAAAGTAGGAAAAAATGGTCAGAAAGAAACAAGAAGTCATGTCTCGCCGTCTGAAAGAGGATGAGTGTGTTTGTTTCAGCCTTTTAAGGCCATGACTCTGTGCCCCTCTGGGTTGGCGTTTTTTTGGTGTTTGAAAGAGGAAAATATGAATGCATGAAAAAGAGGGGAGGTAGCTGGTAAATAAAGTAAAAGTAAGCACACTTCAACAAATTGATGGCTAGAACCGCTTGTGTCAGCTCTGGAGCACTTATAGCTGACTGGGACTTTCTATTGACTCTGGGGCCTTTCTGAGTCTTGCAGGGTTGGCACCATTGTTGGCACCACTGGGCAGCTTGTCCCTGATACACGTCAAAACCCCACCACTGGGGTAAAGAGTACAGCATTGTCCAGTCAAAGTCTCCAACCTCCTATGGCACTCAGAATAATACCAATATCATTGCTCCTTCCCCAGCCTCGTGCACTGAGGTGGTGTGTTTGGATTTGTGGAGCTCTTAGTCAGAAAGTCACCGGAGGACATCTCGAGTGCGTCTTAAATATTTAAAGAATGAATAACAAATGAAATAATGACGAGTTATTCAAAGAACGACTGAGTCACTTACTGTTTCTCGGCCTTCTCCCTGTCATCCAGGAAAAACAGCGCCGTGGCCAGGAAAAACATGCCCCCCAGGACGATGATGAAGGGACAAAGCATGAGGGCATAGCCCAGACTGAGGAACCGCCACAGCGCTGACGTCGTGTAGCTCTGCTGAAGGGCGTCGGAGATCTGCACCACGAATACACACCACAACAAACACACACACACCATCACCAAAACCAGCACACAGACAAACACAGGCACACAGAGAGAGAGAGAGAGAAGAGAGATTTAATTCAAACTAATCATCCCCCCCAAAAGTTCTTAAAATATCCTGTCAGGATCTGACACACGGCGCAATGCGGACTGACTCAACATGCAGAGCGAGTTCTGCATGTTTCATCACAGCAACAGACAAAAGTGACATGATGTAAGACGCCCTGTTTTAGTTTGAAGCGATGCAGGACTTCACAGCTAGTGGCTCATATTGCTGTCAAAGGCTTGAGGAAAACAACAGCGGGAGAATGGTGGGTGTGAAGGGACCGTTTCTGCCTCCCAGCGTCACTCATGAGGCAGCTCTCAAACAGATTGCTGTGCCGATAATCGTGACGGAGAGGAGGCCGCCGATGGTAGCTTTTAGCCGATTATGTGTATGTATGCACATCAGGAGCAAGAGCTTCTCGTCAGTGAGTGAGTGAGTGAAAGTCTGAGCGGCTATAGGTCACCCCGGCTGAAGTGCATTGCCTATATGTTAGCGTCAGCAGAATGAGATGCTCTACAGAGAGAGCTGGAGAAGTTCTGACGGGAGGATGTCAGAGGGAGTGGTTGTGTGCGTACAGTATGTGCTCATGTGTGCACGCATCATGAGGAGTGATTGGAGAAAAGAGAGAAAATGGAGGTGGAAGACATTTTTTTAAATGTGTGACAAAATCTAGTGTACGTCCAGCAGCTGTGTGTGTGTGTGTGTGCATGTGTGTGGCCAGCGCAGAGCTATTTCGTCAGGTACAATAAATTGCCTGCAACTTGCGCAGCTAAAAATATATAGTGAACCGCTGCATGTCTAATTATCGAGCTAGAAGGCATTTTTCGGGAGATTGCTGAGAGATTGTTCCTGGCATTCCCCTGCCACCCACTCTGCCTGTGGCCATGTCGTGCTCATGTAGTATAGTAGGAGTCCATTATGTGTTTCTCGGGGGACTCTTATGTGACAACTGCTTTGGTCTACGTGCTGATGGAGGGGGATCTTGGCTCAAGCTCAGGAGAATGTGAGATGCATTGTTTTTGCACAACAGGAAGTAGTAGTTGGTTTGTAGAGTTGAGCGCATCATCTGCTGGGCTGTGTGGTGCACATCTGAAAACCCAATTGTAAACCAACAGGACTGACTCACTCCCTCACTTTCTCCTTGGTTGCCTAGCAATAACCACTGGTCTGTTTTTCTTGAGATTCTCTCCACTTCTGCTCATTCACAGGATTTGTGCCAGTCTGCAGGGACGACTGTATATCTGGCCGCGCTCAGCGTGCGTCACGACAAGTCCATCGCACTCGCGTGCTAAACCTCAGATCAGGAACTGAGGCAGGGAGCGGTGACGCACTTGGAGCGTTGTGGGCCTCGCTGGTCCGGGGTGTTTGTGGAGGAGTGAGAAACCCCCGGACATTCAGTATGTCACTCAGAGGAGAGTCGTGACCCCGAAGGATGGATTGAGAACTGTGGGGCCACGTCTGGGTAATTCTGGCTGGCAGTGTGTGTGTGTGTGTGTGTGTGTGTATGTGTGTGTGTGTGTGGGCTGCATTATTCTGACCTTTGCAACTTGTAGGAATATTAGCAGAGCAATTGTATTGTGTAGCCCCCCCTTTCTACATGTGAAGTTGTAAGGTTGAAACTGAAGGTAGAACTAAAGATTATTTTCATTATCAATTCATCTTTTTCATTGTTTAGTCTATGAATTGTCAGAATTTAGTGACCATCAAAAGTTCTGAGCTCAAAGTAACAGCTTTACATTGATTGAGTCCAAAACCCAAAGAAATTTCATTATTATTCAATTTGTTGATATGAAACTGTATTGTTCCGATCTGTCCTTAGGTTGTGTTTTTCATTTTGTCTTTTGTTGTTTCCTCTTTTATTTTGACATGCTAACATCTCCTTCAGTTCCTTCCCTCACCTGCCATCAATTACTCACCTGCCGCTGATTTTTCCATCAGTTTACCCCATTTATATACTCCCTTGTTTTCCCTGTTCCGCTGCCAGATTGTCTTTGTTCAGCAATTGTAGAGTAAGTTTTATGTTTTTTGTTAACTTCACCTTGTTTCCCTTGTTTTGGATTTGTTTGCTCTGTTTGGACTGACCACATGTGTATGACAGCCTGGCTTTCCAGTAAAAACCTCGCCTTTTTGAACTCTCCTCGTGTGCAGCATCTGCTATCGAGTGTCTGTTCGACCCTGAACTGTCCTATGAAACAGCTCTATGAAACAGCAAGCCCTCAATTTTGAGAAGCTTGTTTTTTTGTTTGATTAACAACTGAAATGGTTAATTTGTTATCAGAAATACTGTCAATTATAGTCGACTAATCTTTTCCGGAGTGGTTGGAATATTTTACATCAGTAGAATTAAAGTCATCCAGACGTGAGTCACGCCGTACTTCAAAGTACTGCATCTCTTAACGTGTCAATAGGACGTTCGTAGAATATAAGATGACACTGGGTTCTATTTGATCTACAGAATCAATTCAGCGCCGACCTCTGAGCCGGATTCTGTTTTCCAGAATGTGGATCTTTTTATTCTTCTAATACCAGTTTTGTTTAGTCTTTTAAAGAGCTTGTCAGTACTTGGAGACAACTTACTGCTCCCTTTATCTGGCTTCGACAATAGTAGCGCAGTAACATTTCCATTTAAGGAGGAAAAGAAAAACAGGACACTTTGAATGCAGCTCGACAGACAGCTGCGTGTGCTGCCAGCCCGTCAGGCCCCGGCAGAGGAACTCAGGGATCAGTTTGATTCACTAATCAAAGACTTCCACTTTGCCTTTGTGAACATGACCTAGGCTGTGAGCCAGAGGCACAACAATAAAACACAATGTAAACACATGGCAGTCTTTTCTCTCCCAGCAATACACTGGCACCAAAGTTCATCATAAATACATAAAAAGTTAAACATTAGGACGTGATGTGAAGATTGAAATGTGGCCCGTGATTTACCGCAGTACGTCTTTGTCTTTGTGTGTTGCCTATGTCTATTTTTCCCTTCTTCCTGTATGCTCAAATAAGGCATTCAGACTGTGTACCTCCATGGAGTTACTATTTAACTTAATGTTCATTCTCTATTGGGAATGAGAAGAACGCTGCTCGACAGTCTGAGGTGGATCCTGTTTTACGCTCCATTGAATAGCCGCACTTGTATTCTGACTGTATGCAGTTTGGATGGTGGATGGTAGGTGGTGGTGGTGGTGGTGGTGGGGGGGGCTGTTGGGGGTTGAGTGACTGTGACCTTGAGAGGCCTACCAGTGAGAACCGCTCTTTCACATCCCGACCAATCAAATGCAGTAACACCGGCCCCTCCTGGGAACCATGAGATTTACTAGAAAATGCCACTGACAGCCTGAAGAGCAGTGGTGAAACCACAACCCTGTTCACCAGCACTCCTGAGACGTGTGCCGAAAGCTCCTCTTGTACCTCACTTTGCACTGGCCCACTTCAAATCAAGAGCTGAACCTGTATCTGGCGTGTATAGTTTGAATGGAGATGTGCCTTCCAGCGGGGTTACATTTAAAATGTTTATCTGGAGGAGTCTTACCAGGCCTATCAGGTACGGACTTCCTGCGTCACCCAGGAGATGAGAGGTGAAGCTCTGAAAGGCGACCGCCGTTGCTCTCCTTGTCGGGATAACGACAAACTGCGCACAGAGAGGGGAAAAATACACAGGATCGTGTGAGATGACGAAGACACGGAGGTAGAAAGATTCACTTAGCCGTGTTAAAACAACTTCTGCAGTCAATTCTGAACGCTGAGCCCACCTCATTGGGCCAGAACACCCAAGGCAGACTTGTCAGTCACACTTCTTCACAGTTTTCACTTTTAGATACCAAAACAAACATCAGAGAAAGGGCCCCCTTCCATTTGTTTTCATGAGCAGTGCATGAATCAATCTCAGTAGACAGTAATGATCGGCCCCACCCAAACTGTGTTCCACTCACACATTTCACAAAACCGTGTCTAATTGGGCGACCGACGTTTGTCGCAGGAATTTCCAGTGACCCAGTGGATAAGTATAGGTTCCCCGTACTTACCATTAAAATGTCTGCTGTTATGGCCCAGTTCAGGAAAAGCAGCGTCTCGCCTATGAAGATGCATACCTACACGAACAAAGCAGAAAGAGAATTGTCAATTTAGTGGCGCTAATTAAGATCGGCCAATGTTCCTCTGCACCAAAGACTGGTGACCAGACATGAAGGCAGAAGAGGAGGTTGCACATGGCGCTACTGTGTGTGGGAATCCTCCGCTGAATAAAAGTGCTTCGGTTGCTGCGGGTTTAAAAACATGTTATTATGTTGCGACCCAATTATACGTGGAGGGGCAGGCCTTCATTTTGGTCTCGCTGAGTATTTCGCCTACGAGCTGAAAAAACTGCCCAGGGTGATAAGGTTTGTCTCTTCTTGTCAAAGCTCGTATATATTCAATGTGGAAACGGTTTAACACTTATTAAGTTTAGATCCAGCTGCAGGATTTTAATCTATGTCCTACGCCTGAATGGTTTGAACAGAGAACGTAAACTTTAAATAACATGACTTAACATCCATCGTACAATATCTACTATGTAGGCTACTGTATGTACGCGGGCCAGTACCAGCTGGTGTTGCTATTTGGCCACTTTCTTTAAGACAGACCCAGAGGCATTTGGTTGCAGTGGGATCTTGTGTGTCTGTATTGGCTGGATTCGTCTGGCACTGTTTAACACGGCCGGTTGATGTGCGTTTCCTGCCGGGGAATAACCCTTCTGCCTGCGTGCCAGACCTACAGTACAGCACAGAGAGCTACAGAGGGAGTCTGACAGAGGAGATGTCTGTTCTGCGAACCAGACACCGTGACCGACATGTTAGCTCTTAGGAAAAGAGAAGCCCAGTATTTCCTCAGATGTGTTGACGAGACAACAGCTGCGAGGGGGTCAATCGTTGCGGCCACGTCACGCCTTATAACACGATACATCTGTCAGTGCTTCGCCATGAAACCTGAGCCGATCACTTACAACTGTTGTACTGTACCATGATTTGATACTGTACAGTAGAGGAGTCGGAGAAGCAGGGAAGTCTCATTTAAAATCCCGGCCTGTTACGGTTAAGCTGCTAGTACTGCCTACCTTTTCCGACAACAACATACTTTATTCTTCCTTGGTGAGATATGTAACATTTGAGAGCACCAGTGGACCACATCTTCATCCTTTGCGACCAATACAAAGATGGAAATCTGGTGTCAGCCCTCTCTGTCACACAGTGTTTGTCTAAAATCGAGTGGGACGGATCTGTAATCATGTAATTAATATGGACACTTCTGCACCTCAGGTCTAATTGGCTGAGTCGTGCCTCTGTCAAACTCCTAATAAATGGGCTCCTCTGACCTCACAGGAGTTCATATACATTTGAATTTATCAAATCATAGTCACCACTTATGCATGTAATTATTTTTCACTCAGTCACTTCTTTGCTTAGCAGCTGTAGAAAACCAGTATAATCAATACAGTATATCCAGCATTGCACACATTTTCTGTTGATTGAGATGGTGCGTTATCGCTGTTATTTTAAAAGCGGTCAATCCTGAGCATACAAACAAGATCCCATACTTAAACACACCTCACACATGCTGTAAAAAAAAGTCAGAGGGCAAACTTGTCAGGGTCATACATTTCGGATACGGAAGGCTGCTTGTTATGTTCCTTCACATGCATGGGAAATGTTTCCTATCTTTTCCAGCGTTCTTACCGCCCAAGTTGTTGAGAGTCAGTTCCTCTTCCTCTGATAAGACTGAGAAATGTGCGCTTGGTGAGCACAGAGTACATTGTTTCAGGGCAGTGATTGGGAAGTTGCACCCTTTTCCTGCTTCACAAGGCAATTAGACACAAGCTCTCTAAGCATTTGCCTGAGACTCTTAACTTTTGGCTGGACGAGGTATGAGCCTCAGCTACCTGCAGCAGCCCCTGAGGCCATCTCAATCTATCCTGCAATGACGGTGGTTCATTATGAGGAGCAACACCCACTCACTGCCTCTGGGACTGAAAGGGACTGGCATCAGGCAAGGTGTCCTTTTACTGCTTTATTCCTGATTCAAACATAACCCCATCCGATGAGTCTCTAAGCCCTCTCTCTTTAGATTGATTATCAGACTTTCACTCTTAATTCTCAGGCCCTGAGGCAAACCCATAATGAACATTCTAATCGCTCCTTGTGTGAAGGACATTTGTCATTGTGGAACTGTTGATTCTTGGAAAATAGGAAAGCAAAAAGTGACCTGATCACAACTTCCTCCACTGTTCGATTAAACTTCCTCTGACACACAATATACACACAAAAGTTACACAAAGTGACTCTTACATAGGCTCCTACGATGCTCTTCTTGGCCACCACGAAGATGAGGCAGATGAAGATGGCCGAGCCCAGCATGCTGACCGCGCACACGAGCGGGTCGGCTCGCTCTGTCTTCTGGCGGCACAGGCGCGTGGTGGCCGCCCCGATGACCACGCCCAACAGGCCCGTCACGCAGGTGATCGCCCCGAAGATTAGGCTGGACAGGAGAGCACAGACAAGACTGTTATTACAAACATCATGCAAGTTTTTAGTCCATGCAACCACCCAAAAGACGTTTCAGTTAAGAAGGCGCATGGGTTTTTATAAAAGGTGCAACCCTACAATATAAATGGATGAACTGACTGAACTATGATAGCTCTATAGTAGTTCAGATCCAGCTTTGAGGGCAAAGTGTGCTTCGATCCCTCTCTTTTACATGGTTTCAGATTGCACCAGTGAGTTCAAAGCCTGCACTCTGTGTCTAGTCATTAACCTCTCACCTGTCTGTGCTACTGCAGACGTCTTTTGTGCAGGCCTCTCCCGTCTTCTGCACCACCTGGGCTCTGGCCAGGTACAGAGGGATCCACATGCCGAACGCACCAGTGGCGAAAGACACCGCCGAGGATGCCAGGGAGGAGAACACGTAGCTTCGACTAAGTCAGGAAGAAGCACACGCGAGCGCCAAATCAAAACAGGTGATTATCTTGGCTTAAAAAAGGTACACAGAAACACTGTCTGTCACACAATCTCACTGGATTTGTCTCTCTGTTTGTAAAAAACAACAACTAAAACATCTGATAATGATTGCAAACAAATAATAAAGAAATACTACTGGAGTTTGAGAATTTAAAGGGTTAAATGGCAAGTAAACTGAAATGATGTGCAGTTAAGGTTGACAGTTTTATGTCACTATTTAACACTTTCCATTGGTTGTGAATGTGGAAGACTGTACAGCTAAAAGTCACAGTGTGTGGGGGATGAACATGTGGTTGCTGTGCTAAAATAGATCCTATAAACCTGCATGGCTGCATCAGAGTAGCTTTATAGAGTTTATAATATTTCTTTTAGCACACAGGTCATACACTAACAAGGGCTTAGTGTCATGAATGCAAAGCACCCTTCACAGTTTAGCAGCATTGCAGAATGGTGGTGAGTGAATGACGCTGGTTCACTGTGTCTTGTGTGAACATGCCCATGTCTATAATGGCTACCACAGGCTAAATGTAAGTGAATAAGTGTGAGTGTTTATTTCTACACCTCCAGGATCATTTTCATTGTCTGTCAATCTGACAGTTATTTTCTCAATTAATAGTTTGGTCAACAACATGCCCATTACAATTTCCTACAGCCCAAGATGACGTTAGCATGCATGGCTCTTAGTGATCAGCTGGGCGATAATAGATGAGTTTGGGGGGGGGGCTATACTGATCACTGATCAGGTAATCAGGTCAATCTCCACAAATATCTGGTATGTTCTCTGAAGCCGATGGGAGGCCTTACTTCTTGGCGAGCGCCTTCATGTCACAGAGCCAGGAGGTGCGGTTCCTGACACGTCCCATCTGGTCAGCGCTGCCTCTCTTCGGCTCGGGCACGAAGACCAGGATCAGGGTTCCCGCGGTGATCCCTAAAGCTGGGGACACCTACCGGGGAAAGAGAGAACTATGAGGCCTCGGATCGTGTTAACACATCATCCCACTGACGTGATATTTGTAGTGCGAGTGTGGTTTAGAGTGGAGGCCGACATGATGCAGATGCAGGGAAAAGATCAGTGTGATACGTTTTCCAAAGAGTCTACTACTGATGATGCATCACTTGCTATATATTGTTGTACGTTTCTACTTCATGAAAAAATCCGGAAGTTTATGCAGCGCAGTTTGCGAGCACGAGGATCAGTATGCGATGTCGGGCAAAGAGGAGAGAGTCACTCCCCGTCGCGATGTTGCTCCGTGTTAAAACATTGAGCTTCTCAAAAGTTGAGAAACAATAAGTCAAAGTCTAATTCTAAGTCAAAACGGTTGTTGAAGTCAAGTTTGACTTGCAGAAGCCACTAGACCAGCAAAAGTGCATCTTAATTGGTTTCCTCCTCACATGCCTCAGTAAGCTAACGTTAGCTTTTCAGTTCTGTTTTGTGTTAGCAACAAAGTTATTTCAATGCAAAGACTATTCGAGCCTTTTACAGTAGTTTGTGAATATCAAGTGTCTAAAGGGAAATTAATTTGGTGTTTAAAGTGTAAGTTTCTGTGTAATAATATGTCAACGTTTCTACACTGTTTCTACAGAAAAATACACTTTGGCTTCACTGAGAGTAACGTTTGTATATTTAACGTCTAAAAAGATATGTCTTTTTATTGCTTACTCAAATATTTACGAAGCTGGAGGCTATTTTCATGCCTGATATGAGTATTGTGTTAATATTTGCTAAGCATATACTGTTAGAACAAAATAATTCTAATATCATTTGAGACTTTGAACTAGAGAGTAACAAATCATTTTCAATATGTTGAGGGTTTAAATGAATTCAGTCAGCGCTTAGTTCGATGTTGTTATGAGCCAGCATTATGCTGCGCAACATAAACATCAATGAAGTATGAAGGAAAGCAGAACAGACACGATAAGCCTGTTTGTAAATGCAGGAGAGAGGAGATCCAGGGAAGAAGATTCAATGATTCCAGTAGATGGTGAGCCCCCCCCAGCTGGATCTCCAAGAACCTGGATCTAGATTGCTACTGAAACACCCGGATAAACTATCTACGTTGTGGTAGGTACGTGCCAGTCTTTTAGATTGGTACCGACTCGAACACACAATGTACTTAGAGAGAGCACTCTCACACTCTGGAGAAATACCCTCAATGATCCCAAACCAAGCTTCTTTAAAGGATAATTGTGTCTGGTTTAAAGAGCCCAGTTGTCATTTTTCATATCCATGTAAATGTTGCATTTGTTTTGCTGTTCACAGGCAAACTAAACTGAGTTCTTGTGTTGTTGTGTTTATAGTATTTCACACTCAAAACGTAGCTCCTTCCGAACCTAAAGCGAGGTGTACATACCCTGGAATGGGTTACTTTTACAATCTGAATGGACGGCCACTGTGTTTGCCGATACGCCTCACATCCTATACGAGCCCTCTGGAGCTGAGAACATTCCCTCTGCTTACTCTGTTGGCACAGTGTGTGTTTGTACGTGTGTGTGTGTTTATGTGTAGAAGCATATACGTCTCTAAAAGAGCTTTTGAGCTTTGAGAGCTGCTTTGTGAGTGCTGCACCAAGGTAAAAACCTCATAATTGCCCATCTGCTATTATGTTCACTATCATCTTTTATGGGTTATGAGGTAGCATGATTGTGCATGTGTGTGTGTGTCTGTGTGGCGAAGACGGAGACAAAAGACAGGATGGGATGTGTGGGAGAGGATTTGGTCGAGTAATACATATTGCTCAAAAAAGCAAAACCAATTTCATCTGTCAGGGGAAATTCATCATATTATATTTTGTAGCTTCTAAAAGCCATTTATATGCACAAGTGCTGTGAAATGTGCAGGTGTGTGTATATATGTTTGTGTGTGTGTGTGGTTAAGTTTTTCATTGAGGGAGTAATTCTGAGGCTGATGTGGATCACACTGATGATTTCCTTTCTTATATTGTTTCTTCTCTCCAATTATCTCGTGTGGAGCAACTTATAAATGTGCTTTCAGCGAGAGGCAGCTTAATGGAAGATAAATATGAGCTCTGTTTTGCACAAGTTTTGCACTCTAGTCCCCTCATTATTATTCAACAAGACACCAGTAGTCTGTGACCTTTGACTCCAACAGTGCACATTAGACACTTCCTGCATGGATGGTATAGGCAATCAAACAAATGAGTTACTGCCCTCTTCTGCTGCTCATTTCTATGCATCCCCCCTGTTCATTATCGTCCACATTTTTCCGCTAAACAAGGAAGGTAGCTGGAACACGTTGGGCAAAAACAAACGGAAGTGTTGCATTGTTTTTTTCCTTTAAAGCAGGATACTGCTCCACAGAACCCGTTTCATGTCTCGGTTTTTGGTTTCCTCTGCATGCCACACCGGTGATTAATTGGCGTTGAGATTGTTTTATTGGAATGCCATTGTGACTGCTGTGGAACACACTGCCTCGCTCTTTGTGTTTTTTTTGTTTTTTCTTTCTGCACGTCCTGTTTCCTCAAACCCAGCGAGTTGTTACATCCAAGAGTCTTCTCCACGGCGACATGCTGAGAGGAGGTTTTAATGCCTTCCTTTAAAATGTCGGTTCATAAGAAGAGTCGGGTCATAATTTGTTCGAGGATTTTTAAAGCTGACCCTGAATTCAGCGGCTCCTGAGGAGTCCTGTTAGACCTTTCATTGGTCCTCTCCATTGCTGCTGGTAGGCCTTATTGAGCTGTTGGCTTGACGTTCTGTCTCCAGTACTCATTGGAGTCCCAGTAAAAAAGTGCCATGACAGTGATTTATGCTCCTGAGTGAACACCTGTGTTTGCTCCCAAGTACGCTGTAAGTATGCTACTGCAAAGAATTGTCTACTCGGGATTTTTTCTTTGTTGAAGCAAAACCCTGTCAAGGTGGGACATCTCAGCAAATTTCTACAGATAAATTTCTCTTGAGAATTGAAATCAGCCTTTAATTAAAAGGGATACCAGCGTAATGCTCTTGGAGCAACTTTGGGGCATTTTGCGAGCCAGTGCGTAGGAACAAGTGTGTCTTTGTGCTCGGGTCCAACTGCCCCACACAGAGGCTTTGTGCCTTCTCTGGTATCTGGTAGACTGGTACACATTTTCAATTCTTACAGGTGATTTTTGCTTCCTCCAAACAAAATCTTCTCCTCAAATGGTTATCAGGACATCAGTTTCATTCCATGCATTGTTCATTGTTCTCTTTTGTTTAAAAAAAAAGCAGTTGTTGATGCTGTTGCAGATGCAATAGCAAGCTGGTGGTTATTGTTGTTGTTCTTGTACTCTCTGTTGTGACGTAAGGACACATTTGGTTGACCAATCACAATCCACAGTACAGCTAGCACTCCTAATAGTACCCAGGACATGCATTTAGTACTGCGTCCTGGGCAGGGCCAAAATGTACCTCCAGCTACCTCTCCCTAAAGAATGAAACCTTAGTGTTTCATTAAATTCCTGCACTGTAAAAGACACTACGCTCGGGTAGAGGAAGCCCCCACACCTTGTTATTTCACTGAGGCTGACATTGATCCTGCCTCACCAGAGACGACCCCCCCCCCCCCGAGGGTAAAGTGTAATGAAAGATGAATGTGTTTACAGCTTCTGCGAAGCAAAAAGCTAGCGCCAGCCTTGATCTTTAACAGAAATCCACTTTCCTTGCTGCAGCCATCGGATCAGAACTGAGCCATCACGACACACGGCCTTTTAGCTTGAACAACATATTAGAAGATGTTGACTGTGTTTGGTGTTAACATTTCTACATTTTGAGAAAGCGTTGTGGGAGGTCGGAGGCTCAACTGATGCTGATGTGGATGAATGTGAGAGTTGTGCTGCCTTCAGCTCTGTCACATCACTACAATGTCCCGGACCGCCTGTTCAGCCATGTGTGCGCCCCCGGTGCCTCTGCCACCACCGGCCCCTCTGACCCCAGATCCAAGACAGGCTCTTCATCTGTGTCTGTGTGCATGTTTGTGTGCAGTGTTGGAGGATGATGCCCTTACCCTTAGTGCCCAGTGCCAGTCTCCTGCAGCCACCTTGGCGCTGGAGCCCAGGATGTAACCCAACCCACTGCGGAGAGACAGAAAGACACAAACCGTCAAATACATTACTCTGGACCTGCTTCACTGAGGTCTTGTGGCGAGTGCACATTATATGTTAAGTATATGATTCAGTGTCCTGAAGCGTACCCTACATTACACACATCCTGTTTGTCTGCCACGTTGAGTGTTTGGGTACTTGACATAGAGAGCTTATGACAGTGTAACTGATCAAAGCACCGGTAGCAGCTTGGCTAGTTGGTCTATTTGTGGATGTGCGATTTGTGCACATAGTCACAAAATGCAGGTGCAAAGTTGCCACCCACGACCCGGCACTAACATGGTTGTCTGAGCCTGAAGGCTGCGTGTGGCACAGTGAAATGGAATTTCACTGCATTTTACTCAGGTAAAGAGTGTTTTGTGTGTCCTAAAGGGAAATAACAGTGAAATGCTTTGAGGGAAATGTTGCTAGATCAGATCAGATAAAGGGGCCCTTATGCTGCGATAAGCCTCTGCTGCTAGATAGCATCAGCATTTAAAGGACAGAGAGAGTAAACCGAGGGAATGTGCGGCAGAGGACCAATGGCTAAGTATGGGAGCATTATCGTCAACACAGTTATGCAGCAGTAAATACAGAGCTGATTACTCTTTGTTTATACTTGTTTGTGTTCTATGGCCTGAACTATTTTGATAAGAAATGAATCATCAAAGTATCAATCAGAGATAGCAATCAGAGATTGTGGTGCTTTTTAAAAAAAACTATTTTATAGACCAAACAATTAATCAATCCATTAATCTAGAAAATAAACCGTTAATAATCGATAATTTAAAAAGTTTGTTGCAACCCTTTACCCGGACGGCCTCTAGTAAGTGCTAAACACTAAAGTTATCCCCAGATGCTTCCATACAGCACATGAGGCATCGTGGACTGGTTTCACAGTGATGTGAATTATATTCTAGGACTTACACGACCGATTTTGAGGGACTGGGCCGTCTATCACCATCATCATAACACTAAATGAGGGAGACTCTTTTGAAAAAAGGGTTCTTTCAGTTAAGATGGCCCAATACCTTACTCCCTCTCATTTGTTATCCATCTTAGCTTATTCCTACAGTTTTTAAGCCTCTTCCCTAGATTTACTCAACAAAAGTCAATCAGACTTCCTGATTTCTCAGAGAACCTGTTTGTCTTCATGTGCAGAGCCTCTGGTGAAGAGGTGCTGTTTCCCATTAGCATAGCAGATTGGAGCAATAGATTGATTATGAAATGTAGCCAGTGTCTTTACAGTGGGTTCTTATCAGCACTAGCTGCTAAAGGGCCAAAAGATGTGTAACTGGTTTTACACACACATCCTCACACAGAGCAAAGGAGGAAACGGTCGACGCTCGTGCTTTCCATGATTAGTTCTCCAAAAATAACAGTGGCGTATAAACAGGCTCAGACAGCATATGATATTTCCAGTGAGTGACTAACGGCGAATGTTATCAGAGTCCACGCAGAGAGTGTTTGGAAAGTTCAACACCAACAATATAACTCAAGCACGAAAAATATGCTCACATCAAACAGCGGCGGCGCCACACAGAAAGAAGCCTATCTCCGCGGCCAAGTTAAAATTATGGGGGGGATTGGAGAACAGGGAAATCCATTTCCTGTGAATCCGGCCTAATTCCTGAGGTCATTTCCTGGAAACGGTCATAACAACCTCAGTGAAGACAAACAAGTGGGAGACTGGGTAGGAAGTTTGACTGCACTTTACTGAGGCGCACTCTTTCACCTTCTATTGTCTGTGTTGCCGGGCAGTTTACTGTGACCCAAACATTTTGGCAGCTCATAACACAACCACTAAAGGCAGTTTAGACTTTCCCTTGCACATTTGTCCAACTGTCTCCAATCTGCCATTGTAACTTGAGCGGCATGTTATACGTACATTTAATGTAATTCTAATGTTGACAGTGTACAAAGACTGCAGCACATTTCGCCTTTATTATTTAGCATTTCCGTGTGGGAAACAGCGCAGCATGCGACAGCACGGCACATGCTGCGAAGCACTGTACATAACAATAATCCTCAAGTGGCTCCCGCGCGGCATCCACCGGTGCATTCATCTTTTATTACTTGGCTTTGTTTGTTTTCTCCCTGTGGCCCTTTTTCTGATTGAATGAACTGAAATAATACCTGCTACTCTCACACCCCCACGCCACATCCCCCAAAAAAAGCCTTCCACCCTCCTTGAAGCTTCACACACAGCCGATTGTAAGTTCTGCTTGTCTTTCTGCAGAGAGCCTCAGCTCTTTGTGTGGCTGCCTCTGGGAAAAAAAAGAGAGGCAGATAGGAGCGAGCCTGGCCTCCATGTGAGGATAATTTCAATTATCTACGCTAATGCTCCTGATTTCATTGCACCTTTGGATTTAACATGTAGCGAACCAGCTGAATAGGATGAAATCACCAAACTATAGTTTCATAAATGTCGGCATGAAGATCTCCCATCTCCCGATATAGAACACGTGTCTTGTTGTTACCCAGTGTTTGCCTCAAGAATACAGGATCCGTCTGTCTCTTACCTTCCCAGGGGGATGGCCAGGTAGAAGACAGAGAGCATCATGGTGCGGCTGTTACTAGTGAACAGGTCTCCGATGATGGTGGGAGAGATGGAGGAGTAGCTGGACTCTCCGATTCCCACAAGTCCCCTGGAGAGTACAAACAGCCAGTAATACTGCAGAGAGAGAGAGAGAGAGAGAGAAATATCAGTTTTGTTATCAAGCTCTGTGTCAGAGCGCAATGTCAACCCAACAGCCATTTATCTTGGTCATAAGGCTTTTTGCTCACCAACTTTTCTTTTCCTGCACAAAACAGTCTATCTTTACCTCTCGCCCAAAGATACTTACAGTAAAGGTCTCCATTGTCATTGTAATCAGGCTTACAATGCACATACAGTACATTTAATAGCTTTCAGGCCATAACAGTTTCATCAGATTCAGTATGGATTCAAACGCAGATTTAAAAGTCAAAGTCAGATAAACGGAGGTAGACACTGGATGGACAGCGAATCACCACACGTGTAACAAGCATGTCGTTCATCGTTAATGAGACGCGATGACTTTCACACGCTCAATCCCATGAACACATGGGCCATCAAAACCATTTAAATATTGAGATTTTGTTGCACCTGGTCCAGAGGGTTGGACAAGGTCATTTTGATCAACCAAATATTTTTTGACATAATGAGATTGTGAAATGGCATCGCGTCAGCATTTCAATGTGTTTAATCCAACGTAGCTTTATTAGATTACCACGGCGTATTATCTTCCATGAGACGTAATAAACCGAGGAATGAAAAGATGAATACTTAAAATGCTTTAATAGGAGACTGCACGCTGGCGGGGGGGAGGGCACCTGTGTAGGCAGCTGGATTGTTAACTGTTTCCATGGCAACTACTACTGACTGGATGCAGACTGCCTGCCTGCAGACAGACTGCCCCCCCCCCCCCCCACAGTTTGTGATGCAAATTGCAAATATTGGCCACCAATTTGCATACTGTCCATTAGCCCCATGAGTAAAATGAGCTGCATGTAAAACTGGTGTCATTTGTTAATGTTGCAGTTCATGGTGATATATACTCAAAGTATTTTAATCCCTGTTTGTCTTACATCTACATTTCATTACATTATGTATTGTTGTTTTTTTTTATTCCCACCTTAAACATATGCACGTTGTGGGCTCTAATAATGAGTGTGTGTGTGTGTGTGTGTGTGTGTGTGTGTGTGTGTGTGTGTGTGTGTGTGTGTGTGTGTGTGTGAGAGAGAGAGTGAGTGAGAGTGTGATAAGGTTGCACTCTGTTGGGTTTGTCAGCAGTGAAAAGAGATTAATGATTGAGCCGTAGATAACCGAGGTTGAGCTGAGACTGTGATCCCCGATGACCTCGGCTCTCAGCCGACACTACAGTGCTTCATGCAGGTGGATGTGACATCATGTCATGAGGTCATAGACACAGCTATCAAACATGCTCTGGAGACTACACCACATACGCATACCTAGCTTTAAGACGACACTTAAAGCAGTGTGTGAAATACGACGGTACCGCGACACCCCTTTGATCGGCACTTGAGACCCTCTAAAAGCCTCAACAGCAAATGTTGGGTAACTTTACCCTGTAGAACGTGGAAAGCAGTGGATTGTTTTTCTGCTTTGACATCATTGTTAAACACTCGGTTAAAAAAAGGCACTCAGTTTGCATCGAATATGGTACTCTGACCCGAGGCCTCTGTGGTCCATTCTTTTTTTCTTTTTTTAGGTAAAAGACAATATTTTTCCACCTCTAGCCGGTTTGCTGTGACTGAATTGACCTGCTGTGCATGAGGTGAAAAGTTGTACAGTAACACAATAGTGTGTCAGGTTCGAGTGTGTGTGTGTCGGGTTAGCGAGAGAGAGGCAGAGTGCTGTGTGGGTTCTGTTTTAGGGCATAATTGTTGCGTGGTTGCCTCATTGTTAATGGTATGTAGTCTTTGTGATGTGTGTGCAAAGCGTGTATAGCCTATAGCTGATTGCTTTCCTTGCATCCATGAAATCCTGTTGTATTGAGTGTGTAAGACTTCAGCATCAAACCCCCATTTGCCACAGTTGCCGAACATTGTTTTTTTTCCTGCTTGATTTTTATGTGAGCTGCAGTGTTCATGATTGATCACAGCCGAGCGCTCACTGCTGTGCATCTTTGTGCTTGTCACATTGTATGGAAGGATTTACAACCGGTCTATTTTCTCTGTTTAATGTCCCACCATTTGGTGGCTGATGCTAGTCCTTTTAGTGTGTGTGTGGTCACCAGACTGTCATCGAAGCTTGAAACAGAAATGCTTAAAGCGGTGACGACAACAAAAAGCAACAACGCCAGGGAAGTGCCACAAAAATGAGGTCGTAAAAGCAGATTGAAAACTACAGTGACATAAAAAAGAATAAAGGAGGTTTAGGAAAATCAACACTTTTTAAACTGTTTTGTTGGAACAAGACTAAGAGTGTACAGTCTCACAGAGCCGGTAGCATGGATGTACACAATGCTAGTGTGTTGATGTTTAGCAGGTCATATTTACCATGTTCACCGTATTATTTTAGCGTGTAAGCATGCTGACATTTGCGCTATTGGCTATAAACACATTTAGGCAAATCTCTACTGTGATTTTCATAAATCTTTTGGAAAAAAATATTTACAGTTTACAGCACTTGGACAGTTTTCCTCAATTCACAGCAAACAATGATCTATTATCTATATAGGACCTACAAGGCTTGGCATTTGGCACATTTGATAATGCTACTTAGACTTTAGAAGGTAACATCTTCTAGATATCATCACTTCAGTGACTTCAAAAAGATACTTTGTAATAGAATGCTATATAATAATTTACTACCCCTTTGGCTTCAACCTATGTCATCCACTTGCTACTTTAGTATTCAGATAAAAACATTATTGCAGCTATAAAGATGACAATCGTGAAAAGAAATATAAACTGTCCTAAGAATGATTATCCATCCACGTAGTCACGCTGTATAACAACAGTGGTTCAGTGATCATTAACGTTGTCTCACCCTCTTTATTCACTAGATCAAAGTGTAACGAGTCATGCTTTCCATTGGATACAATTATAAATAGCCTGCCACGAATGTGTTCAATTTGAAATGCCCTTCAAGTGATACAATTTCACTTTATGGCAGTGGCAAAGTTCTGTTACATAAGATCTGTAGCTGCTGCAAATCCCTCCAAAATGCCCCAGAGTGTGTTGAATGCGTAATGATAGGACTCAGTTGTAAGTGGTCATTAACATTTCATTATATGTCATGTCTTTCATCTCTCATGGCGACAGCGCCGTGAAGCTGTTACATAAGAGCCATCTACTCTCATTTGATTGGCATTCAGGAACAGGTCTTGAGGGCAAAGTTAAAGTTCAGGGCAAAGGACTGCAGGTCTGGAGGATCAGTCCCCGTCTCCTCATTGGCAATCGACAGCCTTTGAGGCATTTGTCAGAGGGGAAGAGGCCCTTAATTTTATCTGAACAAGAAGCAGCCTGAATGTATTTCCTGCTTAGGCAAATGGCTGCCATCTTGCCTCCAGAGCAGATGAGTCTATAGGAGATTTAAGTCAAAGGAAGCCCTATTGAGACATCTCTGAGCTGTCATTCCCTTCCACAGCTCTGGGCTGACGAGCTTCAGCAGTGAGCTGGCTTAGTCACTGGAGAGACGACACTGCGGGACTCCACGACGCTGCTCTGCAGACATGCCACGCGCTGCATGAATTTACCTAACGTATAGCTTTCAATGCCACACATCTGCCAGTCGAGCAGCTTCAGATTCTCAGTCTGTTGGATTTTTATTACACCTGTCCATCAAGACTGCATAATGGGGTCCGTCTGCACACCTCCACACACACACGGAGATCCTTTTACTGTAATGTGATGGCCACTCTCAGCGGGACACCCCTCACCCCCCGCCTCCCAAGAATAATTTTATGGTTTAATGCATCCAACACCGCCCGGCACACTGGGGCTTTTAGAGATATCACATCTAAATCCGCTTGTCAAGGAGCAGTGAAACTACCGTCTTATCTTCTAAAGCATTGTAATTGAGACAAGTCTGAGGCATGGGCCTTCATTAGTTGATTGGCTGGTAGCCAGTGTCTGAGCGAGAGAGAGAGACAGACCGGCAACAAAAGGCAAAGCTCGTGTCTGACTTAACGAGCGTGTCGTCTTTTTTTCACTAGCCTTAACATGAAGCATATCCAGATCACAGCAGAATAATTAGCTCCTCAGTGGGGCGGCGGACTAATAGAATAACACCGGATCCTCTGTGTGAGAACGTGTGCGATGTCGTACCTCTTTACTGATGAAGGAGCTTGACAGAGTAATAATGGACCAGAAGAAAATGCCGCAGCTCAGGATGACCTTTCTGTTGAAGCGGTCGCCCAGGTAACCAAAGATGGGAGCCGCCACCATGAAGCTGCAGATGAAGACTGTGGAGAGAGGAAGGAGAGGAGAAAATGTTACTTTGGACACAGTGACAGAAAGTGACTACTGATTTAAGTTACTGATGCAGTTTTCAGACTAGGTTTTGCACGGATTTGGCTATTTACAGTATCACGTGTTTCTCCATTGTACTTTTCTGTAAAAAAATAAGGACTGCCAGAGGACACCTCCATTCATCTCCAACCAATCAGGATTCAGATATACTTCACCTACACTTACTTCAAGAAACATATATATGCAGATGATACAGCACTGGGAGATGTCACTGAGAAAAGTGATGTTGAATTTGTGAAACGAGAAGGGAGATGGACAAATGTAATGACGAATACAGTAGCTCTTAAAAGAGAGATAAGATAATATGTTTTCAGTTTGTTGGGATCAAACAAATCAAAAAAAGTGGTGGAGGAAAAAACATGTCAGTCTTCAATGTACCACTGCTGGAGTTACATTCAAACTGACCCGATTAATAGCAATATATCACACATCAGGGCCAGAGGAGGCTGTGTGTCCATCAATAATTCCTCCATCTTCATTTCTCACAACCAGACTTATGTGTCAGTGAAAGGAACACAAGCGCTTTAAAGTGTGCTCCCCCTAACTTCCCCACTGCTGACTGGACAACTTGTTCTCAGGCCTTTTAGTCAATATTTATGAGGAGGACCATCCTAAACAGACCTGCATTTTTAATGCTCACAAAACCGAGTTTGTGCGTCTATGCAGAGGGGAAGGGGCAGAGATGTTACTCTTGACAGCGCCGAGGGGAGCTAGGGAGGCAGGCTTGAGTGCTTCGACACATCATCAGCATAAACATACAGAAGAGGGAGGAGATGAGAGGGAGGGGGAGGGGGAGGGGGGGGGGGGTATATAAGACACAGGCATCACAGTCCCACAGCTGCTGAGGCCAACCAACAGGATGAGGGACTATAATCAGATTATAGCTTAACTGTAGTTTTGAACATTTGATATTAGGGTACGATAAAAATAGAAAGAAAAATACTTTCGTAACAATCTTTTGCATGAAGAGTTACCCCCAAAAATAGTGTAATGCCAATTATTTTACATTACTTTGTTGCTGGTATTCAAGTCGGTTATGAACTGTACCCCATTTAATAATAACCGATCAGTTCAGCTCCAACTTCATTTAGGACGAGTGTATGTCCATCGTATATCATTACCCATGCTTTATTCTCTTTTTGTTCTTTTCTCTATCTTTGTGTTTTTCTCTTTTCTCTTTCTTCTTCACTGTGGTTTAATTAATGCTGTAATGTTTTATTATCTTTCCTTTTAGATTAGAAAAAAAGAAGGTGAAAACCATAAAGCAGCAGGAAACATGCACATAAAAACGTATCAAACATATGGTTGAGGGATAATTTCAGATTAAGAGAACTTCTGTGTGTATACTCATTTCTACAGAGCTGCAAACAATAGTCATTCTGTACTGTAATCACATTGCTTCAGGGAATATAGTGCCAGCGATTTAGTTATTCAATACATTGTAGAACATGGTGTCAATAACACTGGCTCATTTTGTAAACTAACAAATATAACACAAATGCAAAAGGGATTTATTATTTTTTTTTAAAACACTGAACCTTGCACAGTATTTGTTTGGGGGAGGAACCTTTGCTTTATCAAAATTAACCTCTCTGGGAAATTCTTATGTCTTAAGATATATAAATTCATATTTCAAGTATATAATATAAAAAATATTATGAGTAATACGTAGACAAGAACACACCCATAATGGTAAAATACACATATCCTGCATGACCTCAATATCATTGTTAAAGAAATCTCATTTCAGAAAATGAAATGTAATCTACAATCTAATTTAAATCTAATTTGAATTATTATTAATGAATGAATCAATTACAATGTAGGTTTTCACAGCTGCTGGGATTGCTTTATCCGCTCATTACAGATAATGAGTCTTTCCCACCTCAGTATGTATGTTTTCCCTCTCTGCCTCTCGACTCTCCTGTCCGGTCTCTCCCTCTTGTTGCCTGTGTGTCTCTCTCTTTCTGCAGCCTCCATCATGATCATTTATGTGGCTAAGTGCTGCAGGTCTGTTGTGTAATGCTAAATGACACTGATGACTGCTCAGTGCAGGTCGGGCTCACTAAAGAGTTTTACCAGCTCGCCCTGCAGCCAAAGCACTAGTGGGGAAACCACACACACACACACACACACACACACACACACACACACACACACACAGATCAGGGTGTTCTGCGGTGCAAACTGGAGATAAGATGAGGGAGAGGTCCACAATCAGCCACCACCAGCTGGTTCCACGTGGGCTCTTAAAAGCCAGGGCCCCAGAGATCATTACTCTCTCTGTTTAGCAGCTTGTCAAAAATGCATATCGTCACATCATTAACTGGCCTATTTCGAGTCATTAGCACATCACCACCATCCCTCTGTGTGTCTTGTTTTATGTAATTTTAGGCTTGGCTTTTGTCCTTAAGGCTCATTATCACCTCTTAGCGGTGTCAGCACATGAGAATGAAGTCAGGTCTCGAGTGTGCACTCGCACTTCTTTGGTGTTGACCTTGCTGCTTATTCACCCTACTACTCTCGGGGGCAAGGGGAAGGGAGGCCTTATGTTTACATTGCTTTAATATCCTGCATGTTTGGTGTGAGTTACGCTCCAGTAAGCAAAGCAGAAGCTGAGGAGATAGAGATAGCATCAACTCTTTGCCAAACTTAAAAAAACCTCAAATGTCTATGATACCATTTTTAGTTTTAATTTTGTGAAAACATTGTCGACTGAGCGACCCAACAGGGCACATGTGTCATAGACATTTTGTCAGGAAGCTGCTTTGAACTGACAGAATCATATGATGATGAATTGCTGTCACAAATAGATGCTTTCTTTATTTGACAAGACTCAAAGAGGAATGTTGTCAGGTTGCTGTTTTTTTTAAGCAAAAACAGGTACACCCTTCCAAAGAATTGGCTTGCGTTGCTGCAGTTTCTCTTTCATCAAATTCTTTCTTATCAAAGTTGGCACCGACAACCTGCTGTGCTCTACGGATTTGGATCGAGAGAGGATGTCGAGCTTTGTTTGACCTAATTCATAGATTTTCAACGGAATAGAATATCTGAAATAGGCCTTTGCTTAGAATGACAGTAGGACATATCATCAGGTCACAATATACAGGGAAATACCTGCTGCTATTAATTTGAGCAAAATCTATAGGAACCTTTCATGATGTCATTTCAAGCAATTAATCCAATGTTACACTGTATATATTAGCAGATTGTTCACATACATACAGCATAGGAATAATCTGCATTGTATAAAACACTTGCTGTTACTGAGACCGGATGCACACATGTAACCTTTAAGGAGGCTCATCTGCTCCCAGGAAATGCCCTGTCACTGTAAAGACCTTACTAAACCATCACACTGTTCTCATGTCAGTCTTCTGTGAAGGATGTAAAACCTACAAAAGAGGAAATCTGTCAAGCTTGGAAACAACGATTTCCTGCTCATTTTGAGGGATCCAGCATGTTTTCTTTAAATAATGCTGAAAGACCTGTTCACAAGGCTGTATCGTGTCATTTCAAAGAATGTTATGAGAGCAGCATGATGCAGCCCTAGTGTATGATATGATTCATTAGAAAGAATGGACTCAATGACAAGGAAACAAATGTGCTTAGTCTATTGTAGGGAAGACAAACAAAGGATGACTAAGTAAGTCTTCACAGATGACAGGTCACACCCAAAACCTTTTATTGGAAACGCTTCTTGATTCTTAACTTAACCTTCAGAGGATGCATCTCACTTTGCGGTTTGGAACATCTTGAATGAATAGAAAGGTTTGGTATACAGCTCCCGAAATGTGAAACATGCATAAGATGGTACCCGTCCTTATAAGTCACATTCCTACGCTGGCCACCATTGTCTCTCTGTTTATTCTTGTTTATGCACAGATTAGCTGTGGCTATTCGCCAAAGATGGCAATCTGTCATAAATGAACTAAATAACAAATCTGCAGCAGTAAAGCCTTAACAGTGAGGAGTTGATGTCTGGAGCTGGCGTACTCTGTGGTTGTTTACACTGCAGGCCAAAAGGGAGGAAAAGTTTTCATAACCTCTTTTAGAGAACAATGGTCAGAATTTGCTTTTATTATTGAGCCCAAAATGATGTGGAACACCTTGGTTTGCATCTAAGTATTTACAGATTAGATTAGATAAGGAGAACATATCTATGTACATTTTTCAGTGTTGCAAATAAAATAAACTTAAAAAAAAATACAAGGCAGGATTCATTTTCATTTTGATGATTACTATTGTCACTGTTGGCTTGTTGTTATGATAGCTGTCAGTGATCTATTTCTGAGGAAACTCAACCGTACATTGAGAAACACCTTAAACAAGTTCTATAGTTTCAGCTTATGCAACATATCGCTCACTACTAGCTAAACAAACACACATTTATTTTAGAACCATTGTTTATCGTTAGCCGTGAGTGATTGTCGATTCCACACCAGCAGCACAAGTTAAGAAAACAAGTTGTGTGGTTAATTAAAGCCAAGGACATTCATGACTTCATTGTTATGTATGACAATGCGGCACGAAGCCATGCGGTGAATATGGAGACAATTCCCTGTCCCTTACTGAGTTGTTTGAACAATTAAGGTCATTTATTAATGTCGCCTCGTCTGACTGCAAGGACCCCTTTGAGGCCAGTCTAGGAGAAGTGTTTTTTGTATTTTAAAGCCTCTATAGTGAAGATAAATGAACCATTACTCCTTCTTAACTATCTTTATCCTCTTTGTAGCCAGAGATTGAAGCGAAAAAGTCTCTTGAACTTCCTTTGTGTACTTCAGACAGAATACTGTATATAACAGATGAACCAAAAATCTCCACAAAGAATACAATGAATTCTTATTTCAATGCTTCAGGTAGGAGTGCCAAACTGGTTCTGATGTCTCTTCAAACTCCAAATAAGATGCTGTGCATATTTCTCACAGTCCCT